AACTTCCAAACTAAAGCACACAATGGAATTATTAGCGGTGTTTCTACTGCTTTTACGTTGCTGTTACACAGGTAAACTCTCTCGGCTTATTTGATGAAAGTGTAGTTAAACGTCTTCTCATTTTCATTTTTTAGAAACAGGTGCAGGAAGTGGTGACAATCAATTATTGCAAGAAACCAGAGGTGAACTATCACAGAAGGAAGAAGGGACTGTTGAAGCTAGATTAGGACGAGATAGTTTTGCTGATGTCGGATTTAATCCACAAACATTTGCCATTCTAAACTATCAGGGTTATCAGATTTATATTTACAGCGCCATATCAAATGAAAATGAAAATAAATTGGAACCACAGAAATGGGTATTTTTCTATGTACCTGTCACCATTCCTGAACAAGCCAGTGATGACAGTAGTGACAAGAAATGGATATGAACTTATAAAACTGAAATTCGTATGAAAATTGTATTAGGCAATGATGATGTACGTGAAGAAGTTCGTCAAGCAATTATGAACAAGTACCCACTGGAAATCAATCAGTTTTCAAAATACTGAGATGTTGCACCATTGATGATTGATTCACTTACAGCGTTCATTGTAAAGAGTAGTAATGCTCCAGTTGAAGGTGTCTTCCCCTATCGTTTTCTACATCCAAATACATTGGCAATGACATTTCGATTTGTCTGTTCATCAGAAGAAAATGCACAACAGATTATGGAAAAAATTGTTGATAGTGATTATGATATTGAAGTTGCATATTACTTTGCAGGATTGAAACAGTTGTCAACTAATTTCATCTCGATAACAGGTGATCAATTGAAGAGTGTCTTAAGTAAGACAACAGCTGACGGCGGTAATACAAATGCACAGTACATTCATCGAAATCAAGCATCAAAATTCGTTTCCAGTTATCTGACCAATGTAAAGAAAATGATATATATGGAAAGTCCAAATGGAAATATGTCTTTGTTAAGTGCTGGCCTAGAAGACCAGTTCAAAGCTTTGCTACAACAAGGTAAGACGAGTTACAGTGGCTTTTAATTTTAAAGAGGACTTACTTTTTCAGCTCTCTGTAAAATAATGTAATAATTAATGTAAAAAACTTCTGTTGTCTTGTAAGTCATCCTTCTTTATGCTCTTTTAGGCTTGGATAGTTCTAATCAAGTAAAACTCGATATGAACATGTACACTCAAGTCTAGTCTTCTAATGATTTGAATCCTGATCGTCTAACGTCTGCCCTGAACAATCTGTTTACCTATAATGAAACTGAAACACAACGTCACAACTTTTCCGACACATATTTTGATTTTAATGAAGCACATGCACAATCTTCTTCGGCTTCTGCTTCAGTCGCAGTCAACGTTTTAGGGTTTGGTGGAGGAAGTGTTTCAGCATCACATGACCAACAATCGGCGGATCAACAGGCATTGATCACCAATGATGTTTTGTCTGCCACAGAAATTCAGCATGTTCTTGAGCAACAAGCAGTTGATACAGAGTGGACAGGTGAAAAATGGATTCCAAAATCATTTAGTGTTTATAAATTAACAGATATTAGCGACAGGTTACAAGTAGCTATTGTGGCTAAACAGTTGATTGCTGAGAAGAGCAATGGTGCAATGGTGAGAACGATCAGTACTTTGGAAACACCGTCAGGAACTTATTCCAACAGTGGTAACAACGGTGTCTTAACTGGTGAAATTCATTTATATTCAAGCCGTACTCAACCTCCATTGCCTTGGCTTGTATGTAACGGTACAGCTGTCTCTCGAGTTGAATATAAACGTCTCTTTTCTACTATCGGGGAAAGTTATGGTGAAGGTGATGGGAAAACAACGTTTAACTTACCTGATTTTCGAGGACGTGTACCAATCGGTGTTGATGAGTTCGGAATCCGTGCCGGTCATGTGGATAGTACCGGTTCTTCTGGCGGTCAAGCCATACAGCAACTGATCGTTGAACAACTGCCGTCACACAAACATAGCCAAGGTTCCTTCCGTACGACAGAGTCTGGACAGCATACACACACCTACGCTGACCCAGGACATAATCATGGAGGGCAGCTATGGAGCAGTCTGGACGCTGCTTTTGAAAATGAGTTGACGAACACTCTTATAGATGGTAGTAAAACACCAGGCAACAATGTTAAATGCGGCATTTCAACCCATTGCCCTGATTCTTCTCAGACTCGAATACTAAAATTAAACATTCATCGTGACACCACACATATTACTATTAATGATAGTGATTCTCATACGCACAACATCGAAGGTGAATCGGATTCCGTTGGTTTAGGACAACAGTTCAGTCTCATGCAACCATTTCAAGCAGTTAACTATATTATCTATTCCGACTAGAGAGAATGCTATTGTGAGCGGTGTTTCTGCATTTGTAGGAGAAGACAAGTGTTTTAATAAATATCAGAAAACAGAAAATACTGTAGTTGTGCTGATACGAGGCTGATGATAGGAAGCAAAGCCTAGTTAGTGTGTGAACAACATCTTTTGAACATCAGTACACGGAAAAGGAAATTAGTTTCTTTATTCATCTCGCGATTTCATAAATCGAACTGAGTATTTTTTGGTTACGTGCGACTTACCAGAAGTAATATATCAAGGTACGGAGGTTTTCTCCCTCTTAACTTTTCCCAATAGTTTGAAAACTAACCATTTGAGGGCGTGATTCATCTCATGTAACTACCGAACGATCGCCGTCGCAGAAAGAACGAAAAAAAAGAAGTTTGTTTTTGTTTGTCGAACAGTAACGAGAATGATTTAATTCCATCAACAAGAAAAAGTGGAAAGAACAGAATAAGACAAAAAAATGTGGAATTCTTTCAGCATTTCAGTATCGTATTTTCGGAGTATCTTCTGACGTGTCCAAACTCAAACAGATAACAACTGAGAAAAGTTTTCCGAACGATCTCATGCTTCTTTAAAATGCGTGTGAATACACACAATGTTTATCTTCCTTTCCTCACGCGTACCCGTGTTGTACATGCTTTAGTTGCTATAAATACTTCGCCTACTTTACATACCTAACATTCCTTACATACTTTGAGTACTTTGTTTCTCTATGTAGTGTGATAGATTACAAACACGTGGCAATGACAAAAACAAATTTTTTCACTCTCTCCTCCTTATGTACATTGAGAAAAGTGAAAAAATGTTTTTGGGTGGGAATGAGAGAGCTGTTCCTACGTTTTAGGATTAATTTTTGCTTCATAATATTGCTATTATCGTCAATGGGAAACAGGGCATTGCTGATTTTTGCTTCAATCAGCAAATCTGTTTCACATGCCATTTTAATGTTCATATTCTAAAACTTGTTATGTCTTGTCAGTGATTTCTATTTTTCCTTTTTCCTACTATACTTCTCAATAGACTTCGAACGACTAGCCTTGACAATTAAAAGATATTTCCAGCTGGATTAATGGAATCATTCTTTCTAATGCTATCCAAATAATGCAAAATTCCTTCGTTGAGCGACTGGCTAAGCAGAGTCAAGTAACTTTTGAAAATATGTTTGTGAATTGTTGACTTGTTATATACTTTTTAATTCAGGTTCATCATTAGCCATTGGTGCTGTTATCGATGAATCAACTTGTTCATAATTGTTTCTATTCCACTATTAAGAATCGGCGCTTGCTCAATCTCAGCAATCAATATCTCTCGATGTTCAGTGCTCCTTTGTAACGTATGTTGCTGCCTAGCAGATATTTTAGTTGAAGGTATGGACAAAGGTGTTCTCAACGATTTCGTAGATAATTCGCACAAATCTATTTGTGACCGTGATCTAAGCTTGTGCAAATGCGTATTCATGTGAATAATATGGTAATGTATAATATCAAACGTATTACAGCTAGTAAATGCAATAACATTGATTGCACTCCTTCTAAGCCAATGTCCAACTAATAAAATCTATGATGAAGATAACTAGCTGAACAGAGTTTTATGTTATTGCTGAGACGACCACAGATCGCGCTTTTGAGGAATTGATTTTGTCACCAAGTTCAGCTGCGCACTACATCCCACATGCCGTCGCTTGCCTTCAACGTGGTCCGACTTCTTGTTCGAAAACGTATTTCATTATTAAAATTAGAGGAATGACAACTACAACAAAGAACAGCAATCCTCTCCTGTACCAGGGCAGGAAACGAGCCGGTTGGCCCGCCCGCTCCGGAATTTTGCGGGCCGGAGGTCTCGGTCCGGCCTGGCTGAGGCGGTTCACAGGCCGGTCGGACCAATCTAAATAGTCGGGCTCCCGGCCCGACTCTGTTTTATTATTCTTTCATCTTTTTGCTGAAAATCGTCCTTCGTTTAAGTTCATGTTGATAAACTACTTTTACAGTTAGACTATATTAGTGATTTAATCTTGCCTATTTATTCAAATCAATATAGTCTAACTGTAGTTCAAGTGCATTTAGACGATTACAAGCTCAATTTTATTTTGAATGCATAACTATTGATTAAAATTCTTTTTGCACCTGTTTCTAAAAGATGAAAATGAGAAGACGTTTAACTACACTTTCATCAAATAAGCCGAGAGAGTTTACCTGTGTAACAGCAACGTAAAAGCAGTAGAAACACCGCTAATAATTCCATTGTGTGCTTTAGTTTGGAAGTT